CTGCCATTATCCAATCACACATCTGCTTACCTGCATCTGTTGCTCGTTTCTCTTCTTCTTCTTTTCTATTTTTTCTAAACTGAGCACCTGATGGCTTTGAACTTTTCTTGTTGGTTTTAATTTTGCACTCCAGTATGAACACAAATCCCCCAACCCAAGGATCACCACAACATAACCTAACAGACCTACACCTTAGGGACCACTAAATATGTGTGTTATGCTCTAGCAAAGTGTATGGCAGTGCAAAATAAGGGTTAAAAGGGTGTCCCCGCCCCGGTCCCCAAAACCAGAAGTCTATAGTAATTCAAATCTAGGAGACTGGACATACAGACACCTGTCTATATACGGTCCCATAGTTGATGGTGTATCTCACAAATCACGTCATGAAATTGCCTTTAGACCTCTGGGAAAGAATTATATCAAGGCACAGGAGGAACAGAAATCTTTCTGCGGCAATAAGGTCCCAACAAGCAAAGTGGCTCCATCATCCATAAACGGATGAAGTTTGGAACCCCAGGACTCTCGCCAGAGCTGGCTGCCCTTCCAATCTGAGCGATCGGGGTAGATGAGCCTTTGATAGGGAGAGGACCATGAACTCGATGGTCACTCTGAAAGAGATCCAGAAGCAGAACTTTCCAGAAGGATGACCACCTGCAGCTCTTCATCAGTCAGAGCTGTATGGTAGAGTGGCCAGCCGGAGCCACTCCTCAGTAAAACCCCACTTGGAGTTTGCCAAAAGGCAGGCGAAGGACTCTCAGACCTCAGCCTGAATGCCAAGGTTTATGTCTAGAGGAAACCAGGCACGTCTACCCAATACCATCCCTCGAGTGAAGCATGGTCAATGTCAATTTTATTTCTATAGCACATTTAAAAATGACAAAGTTGACCAAAGTGCTTTAAGAGTTAGCTAATGAACAAGAGAAAACCATATAAAAATAAATGCAATTAAAGAAAACACAAGAAGAAGCAAATGTGATATATTGTTACACCATGAAATAAAAAACCCCCTGATGGTACTCAAACTGAACTCGAATTAACAGCCAATCAAAGAAGTGAGTTTTAAGGCGTGATTTGACAAACTGTATAGACTCTGAAGTACGAATATCAAGTGGCAAGTTATTCCAGCGTCTAGGTGCTGCAACTGCTAAGGCCCAATCTTCTCTATGCTTTAATCGGCACCTCAGCTGTACTAAGAGCCAGACGATCTCAGTGTTGTATATGTTGAAGAGTTTGCTTAAATAGCTGGGAACCATACTATTTAAGGTTGTTAATAATAATTATAATACTATTAAGAGCATTAAGGCAACTGCTGTTGTGATTTGGAC